TACCCTCCCACCCTCATGAACCCTTAATAAATTATAAATTATTATTTTCATATCTCACATAGTCTACTGTGTCCCTTCATCCATGTTTCTGCTGTTCATCACCCTGTGTGTGTGTATTATATGTTCATCATTGTGATCAGTTCCCCCTTCCTCCCCCTACCTTCCCCCTACCCTCATGGTATCGCTATTGCCATTATTGTTCCTGAGGGGGTTATCTGTCCTGGATTCCATTTGTTGAAAGCTCTTATCTGAACCAGTGTACATGTTCCGGTCTAGCCAATTTATAAGGTAGAACTGGGGTCATGATAGTGGGGAGGGAGGGGAGGAAGCATTAAAGAACTAGAGGAATTTTGTGTGTTTCATCAGTGCTATACTGCACCCTGGGTGGCTCATTCCTTTCTTGTGACCCTTCTGTGAGGGGATGTCCAATTGTCTACAGATGGGCTTTGGGTCTCTACTCCCTCCTCTTTCGCATTGATATGCTTGTTTGTTTTGGGTCTTCTGATACCTGATACCTGATACTGTTGACACCTCATAATGACACAGCTAGTGTGCTTCTTCTATGTGGGCATTGTTGCTTTCCAGCTAGATGGCTGCTTGTTTAACTTCAACACTTTGAGACCCCAGGTGCTATATCTTTTGATAGCTGGGCACCATCAGCTTTCTTCACCACATTTGCTTATGCACCCGCTTTGTCTTTAGTGATCATGGCGGGAAGGTGAGCATCACAGAGTGTCAGGTTATTAGAACAAAGTGTTTTTGCATTGAGGGAGTACTTGAGTAGAGGCCCAATGTCTGTCTGCTACCTTAATACTTAGCATATACAGCATGTACATAGATCTATGTCCCTATCATTATATGTAAATATATTTACATGTGTACGCAACTGTATTTTGACCTCTATAAGTGCCCTTTGCCTCCTAGTCCTGTCCTCTATTTCCTTTTACTTTCCTCTTGTCCCACGATCATGGTCAACCTTCATTCATCTTTCAGTAATTCCTCTCAGCTACATTGCCCTTGATCAAGCCCCACCAGGCAGTCTACTCCCTCCTCACCATTGATTTTAGATCACGTGTCCCTGAAATTGATGGGTCCTCACTTCCTTTTCTCTATCTTCCCCTCTTCCATTGTCTCCCCAGAACCGTCAGTCCCATTGTTTTCTCCTTGGGACTGTTTATCCTGCCTATCTTATATAGATAGACATGAAAAAGCAAAAACAAAAGCCTATAAATAGTTCCATGTCTGTCTGTTGACCTCTTTGAACGTTTTCTGATAGAGTCTGATGGGGTGCCAAGCCCTGAACTCTATTTTTTGGGATTCCTTGGGATGCCGTCTTATTTTGCTACGTGTGGAAATCCCATGTACCCAGCACCATTTATTGAAGAGACTCTTCTTTCTCCATCAAATGGACTTAGGACCCTTGTGAAACAACAGTTGACCATTTTCCTGGAACTCTCAATTCGTTTCCATTGGTCGACATGTTTATTGGACTGGGCTGTTTTGAGTACTATATCTGTATTGTATGCTTTCAAATCAGGACACATGAGCCATCTTATTTTGTTCTTCTTGTTCAACATTGTTTTAGTTATTTGGGATTTCTTGCCATCCCACATAATGTTGAAGACTAGGTTTTCTATTTCTGTAAAGGAGGCTGTTAGGGTTTTGATTGGGATTGCATTGAATCTATAGATGATTTGGGGTAGTAATAACATCTTTACAATATTAAGTCTTCCAATCCATGACATCTTTCCATGTATTTAAGCCCTTTCATCTCTCCCAGCAGCCTCACGTGATGTCTGTCTTTATAATATCCTTCCTCCACCCCAATCCCTGGCAACCACTCATGCATTTTCCCTCACTAAGTTTTGTCTTTACAAGAGTCTATGGAATGATACAGTTTGTAGTCTTTTGAGACTGACTTTTAACTCAGCAAAAATGCCTTTATAGTTAAATCCAAGTTACTGTGTGTCTGAAAATTCAAACTCACAGTTGAGTCAATTTTCATTATAGTGACCCTCTGGGACAGGGTAGAAGTGCCCCTGTGGGTTTCTAAGATTGAAACTCCTTGAGGGAGTAGAAAGTTTAATCTTTCTCCTGGAGAGCAGCTGGGTGGCATTCGAACACAACCCACTTTCTACCAGTAGCTTTTTCCGTACTCATTGATGAGTAATTGTTTATTTATATGGCTACATTACATTTTACCCATTCATCTGTTGAAGACACTTGGATTGTTTGTAGTTTGGGGAAATTATGAATAGAACTGCTGTAGACATTGTGTACAGACTTTTGGGGGTGAAAATGAGGTTTTATTTATTATGAAGTTAGATATACACTTGCCATATTGTTCAGAACTGGGATTGCTGAGTTATATTGCTGATACATATATATTTACCTACATAAGAAACTGTTAGGTTTGTCCAGAATGGCTGTGTTCACTTGGCATTCTACTTCCTCACCAGTTCTTGGTACGTGTTTTAATTTAGCCAGTCTAATAAGTACTTAGGGCGCCCTGGTGGTGTGTTGGTTACGAGGTAGGCTGCTAACTGCAAGGGCAGTAGTTAGAAACTACCAGCAGCTCTGCAGACGATGGGGCTTTCTACTCCTATACAGAGTTACAGTCTCGGAAACTCACAGTTCCACCTGTCCGACAGCATCGCTATGAGTTGGCATCAACTCAATGGCAATACATTTTGGAGTTGGAGGAATTGTGGGCTAGGTGTTGGGTTGCGTATTGCATGGTGAAACTCACCAGCTGCTTTTTGCAGAAAGAGGTTGTCTGTTCTCATCAAGATTTTGTCCCAGCACAACCGCTGATGACAAAGTGGGTGAATAAGCAAATGCGGTGAAGAAAGCTGATGGTGCCCGGCTATCAAAATATATAGCGTCTGGGGTCTTAAAAGCTTGAAGGTAAACAAGCGGC